TTTTTTTTTTTTTTTTTTTTTTTTTTTTGTACCAGGGATTGAACTCAGGACCTTGCTCTTGTGAGGCAGGTAGCAGAACCACTGAGCCAAATCAATCCCCGGCACATGCCATATATAGATATTTCTATATCTGTCACAAAGAGACAGACAGTCATAGGAATTTGAAGGTTATAGAGATTAAACTGCAGCAAAGTGGGAGTTGGGACTATGCTATAATCTTAGGCCCTAAGAGTGACCTTGTACCCACTTTCCAGAGTGCAATCTGATAGAAGGTGAAGACCAGGTTGAGGTCAATGGTGCTGTCTTCCCCAAGCCCTTTGTGGAGAAGCCAGTGAGCGCAGAGGATCACAACGTTTACATATACTACCCCAGCTCAGCTGGAGGAGGGAGCCAGCGCCTCTTCCGGAAGGTGGGGAGATGGTTGAGATCTGGAGAGTCAGAGCGGTAGAATATCATGACCTGTGGGGAAGGGAGCTGGAGGCTGGGCAGGGTGAAATGCTATGGTGATATGTTTGTTCTCCCTTTTCCTCCTGAAGATTGGCAGCCGAAGCAGCGTTTACTCTCCTGAGAGCAGCGTCCGAAAGACAGGGTCATACATCTATGAGGAGTTTATGCCAACGGATGGCACAGATGTCAAGGTTATGTTGGACACAGGGATTTTTTTTTTTTTCTGAGACATGGTCTCACTATGTAGTTTAGACTGGTCTTGAACTCACTGTGTAGCCCAGGCTGGCCCCAAACTCACGGTGATCCTCCTGCCTCAGCCTCCTGAGTGCTGGGATTGCGGTCATGTGTCACCATGACCAGCTTTGGACACAGGGATTTAAGAAGTTCCAAATGTGGGCCTGGGATTTAGCTCAGTGATTCTGCCACCTGCTTTACAAGTGCAGGGTCCTGAGTTTGATCCCTAGTACCAAAAAAAAAAAAGTTCTAAATGCCTGTGTGCAGGTGGAATACTTAGGAAGCAGGTGTAGAAGTGTATTGGAAGGAATCTTAGAAAATACAGTAAGGGGCTAGGGATGTAGCTCAGCACTGCCACACCTGCTTGGCAAACACAAGGTCTGGAGTTTGATCCCTGGTACTAAACAAACAAACAAACAAGGGCCGGGGATTTAGCTCAATGGTTTTGACACTTGCCTTGCAAGTGCAAGGACCCAAGTTTGATCCCTGTTACCAAACAAACACAAAAGAAAATTCAGTGTGAATCAGTTTGGTTCATATTCAACTGAAGATAAAGAGTGGGGAATATAGCAGCACCTATTTTGTTGTTGTTGTTGTTGTTTTCAGTACTGGGGATTGGACTCAGGACCTTGCACTTGCAAGGCAGGTGCTGTGCCACTGAGCTAAATCTCCGGCCAAGGAGTGGGGAATATAGACAGTCCCATTTTCACTATGAGAGCAGTGGCACAGGTGCATGGGAAAAGGTGTAAATGTTGGTAAATTATTTTTTATTAAGGATTAGGTGCTAGTGTCACAGCCCCCAGGGCAAACCTTCAGGTTGATACTGCTGTAGTTCTCAGTGATAAATCAGTCTACTTCTTGATGGTCAGGGTTTATTTGTTTGGGCTTTTTACTCTGGAACTAGCCTGCAGACCTAGTGCTCATACTGTTTTCTCATACACAGGGGGAGCTGTGGGCGTACTCAGTGATGCTATGTACCTGCAGGTGTACACAGTGGGTCCAGATTATGCCCATGCTGAAGCTAGGAAATCTCCAGCTTTGGACGGGAAGGTGGAACGAGACAGTGAGGGGAAAGAGGTTCGATACCCAGTCATGCTGACTGCCATGGAAAAGTTGGTGGCCAGGAAAGTCTGCGTAGCTTTCAAGGTAGTAGAGAGCGCATGGGATTGTGGAATGTGGGACAGAGACGGGAGCAGCGGTCTGCAAAGAAAGAGTGGTTCTCTTTTCTCATCTTGCCTATTTTCCCTCCAGCAAACAGTTTGTGGCTTTGACCTTCTTCGGGCCAATGGTCACTCCTTTGTGTGTGATGTCAATGGCTTCAGTTTTGTCAAGAATTCAATGAAATACTACGATGACTGTGCCAAGATTCTGGGGTAAGAGGTATAATGATCTGGGGTGATGAGAGTTGGCTTAAACAGTGGAGTCTTGCTGGGCGTGGTGGTGCACTCCTGTAATCCCAGCACTTGGGAGGCTGAGACAGGAGGTTCGCTTAGATCTCGAGACAAGCCTGGGCTACATAGTGAGTTCCAGGTCAGTCTCAACTACACAGTGAGACCCTGTCTCAAAAAACCACCCCCCCCAAAACAAAGAAAAAAGAGTGGAGTCTACAGAGAATAGAAGGGGCTGGGGATTTAGCTCAGTGGTGCCACCTGCCTTGCAAGCGCCAGGTCCTCAATTCAATATCTGGTACCAAAAAAACAAAGAGAATAGAAGGGCATAGTGAGTTCCAGGTCAGTCTCAACTACACAGTGAGACCCTGTCTCAAAAAACCACCCCCCCCAAAACAAAGAAAAAAGAGTGGAGTCTACAGAGAATAGAAGGGGCTGGGGATTTAGCTCAGTGGTGCCACCTGCCTTGCAAGCGCCAGGTCCTCAATTCAATATCTGGTACCAAAAAAACAAAGAGAATAGAAGGGAAAAAGAGAAAACAAGTGGAAGCGGGGTTGAAGAGGGGAGGGAAGGGCAATGAGAAAAAAAGAATTAAGATACATTGTGTACAGGTACAAACTCTCTATGATGACTGTGATCATTACGTATATCTAAAATGTACCAATAAATGTTTTGCTTCAAAAATACCAATAAAAGTAATTTAAATTTTAAAAAGCTTTTGCTTTATTTTAAATATTGTAAAAATAATTTAAAAGGAAAAAAGTGGGCTGGGGATTTAGCTCAGTAGTTCTGCTGCCTGCCTTGTAAGTGCAAGGACCATAGTTCGATCCCCCGTACCAAAAAAACAAACAAACAAACAAGCAAAAAACAAAAACATAAAAGGAAAAAAGTAAAAGGGCTTCTCTGCCCCCTTGTCTCTCCAACACCACACTCCTCAGACATGGTTACTAGTAACAGTTCTAGATATAACAGATTGTCTTTTCTGCCCTGGGTAAATAAACTATTTCACTAGATGTGATCATACTGTGATACTGTTGTTCAAATTGACATTTAAAAAGTCATCATGTAATATCTAAACCATTTAAAGGAATGATAGATATTGTGAGCAACCATAAATAGACCAGTGCCAGCCAAGTACTATTTAGCTTAAGGAAAGACAATGAATATCATCAAAGGCCATGTCTACTCCTCCCTGGTCACATCCCCTCTGTCACATCTAGAGGAAACCACAACCTTTAACTTGGTGCTTATCACTCCCAGGCATTTACCTATGTTTCTACCACATATACGGTAGTATTTGTTTGGTTTTTATTTATTTATTTATTTTCTTGGTACTGGGGATCGAACTTGGGTCCTTGCACTTGCACTTGCAAGGGAGGTGGCGGAACCAAACCATTGAGCCAAATCCCTGGCCCTGTTTTATTTATTTATTTTTGTGTATGGTAGTATTTGTTTGCAAAGTTCCATACTTTGTTTGGTTCATGCTTGACTTTGCAAGCTTTATTCATCCGTGTAGTTCTGATTCGCTTATCTTCACAGGACTCTCTTCCTTCTCCTTCTAGGAACACCATCATGCGAGAGCTTGCTCCCCAGTTCCAGATTCCATGGTCCATCCCCACAGAAGCAGAAGATATTCCCATTGTCCCTACCACATCTGGCACTATGTAAGCAAAAGTAAAAAGTCTTCAGTCACCTATATAAGACAGTTGAGATGGCTTCCTACAGCCAGTGGTTTCTTCATAACCCTATACAGTATGAACCCTTAGGGACTGGGACTCTTAGGAAGTCCCCTTAACCCCACCTTTATCCCTAATCTGAGGTCCCTGTTTATCTGGTGGTCTAAGATGTGTCTGATGGGATATGATGATGGCAGGTGAGGTGAGGTTGAGGTGGGAGAGAGACTGAGAACATTCCTGATCTTAGGATGGAACTTCGTTGTGTCATTGCAATTATCCGTCATGGGGATCGCACCCCCAAGCAGAAGATGAAGATGGAGGTGACACACCCCAGGTAGGAAGCGTGTCCTTGTTTGGTCTTCAAGAGGGACAGTGTGTGGGAAACAGCTCTGAGAAGCTATGGTTGTCTCGGTGCTTCTCCTGACTTCAGGTTTTTCACTCTATTTGAAAAACACGGTGGATACAAGACTGGGAAATTAAAACTCAAGCGACCTGAGCAGCTCCAGGTAAGTTGATGACTTTGATGGGGGTGGTGGGGGAGTAGAGCTGTGGGGAAGAAAGAGGGTGTAGCATTGGTGAGTGACAGGGTGGAAGAGTAACTGGCCCGGACTTGGCCTCCTGTGTGGATAACTTGTTAAATCCTCTAGGAGGTTCTGGACATCACACGGCTGTTGTTGGCTGAACTGGAGAAAGAGCCAAGTGGTGAGATCGAAGAGAAGACTGGGAAGCTAGAGCAGCTGAAGTCTGTGTTGGAGATGTAAGAAAGTGGGTAGCAAAAGGGAGCCAGTAACGGGGAGAGCTGGGGTCCTGGGACATAAAAAGACTATGGCTTTTATCCTGCAGGTATGGCCACTTCTCAGGTATCAACCGGAAGGTGCAGCTGACTTACTACCCTCATGGAGTGAAAGCTTCTAATGAGGGGCAAGGTAAAATGTAATCGTTTTTTCCATTAACCACTCAGATCTCTTGTGACGGTTTCTGCCTGAAATTACTTTTATGGGCATTCTGCCATTTTCCTTGGATGTGGACCTAGTCACTGCCCATCTTCCCTCAGGTCTGCAGAGGGCAGCTCTCGCCCCGTCCCTGCTGCTGGTACTGAAGTGGGGTGGAGAGCTGACGCCTGATGGTCGAGTGCAGGCTGAGGAGCTGGGCCGGGCCTTTCGCTGCATGTACCCTGGAGGGCAGGGTGAGCGTTTGGGGGAGGGGTGGAGATGCTGCCAGGGCTGGGAGAAGATGAATAGAGTACAAACTGGGGGAGTGGAGGGCAGAGGCAGTGAGGAAGGTAGAGAGAAGAACACACCAGGCTCTTCCTGGTGCCCCCTCTGCCCCAGGTGACTATGCTGGCTTTCCTGGTTGTGGGCTGCTTCGCCTTCATAGCACTTTCCGCCATGACCTCAAGATCTATGCCTCTGACGAGGGCCGTGTCCAGATGACTGCTGCCGCCTTTGCCAAGGTGTGTACTGTAGCTGTTTCACAGTCCCAGCTTCTGTTTGGATAACTAGGTGGGAAATGTCAGGGTGTTTGTATGCCGACTCAGAGAAGTTTCTACTTGTGTCTGACCCTGTTCTCAGCTCCTAGTGAGGAGCTAAAAGGGTTGGTAGGAACAGGCCCCTTCCCTTATATCCCAGCTCTTCAAGCCAGCTCTCATACAATTCTGGGAACAGCAAGGCCTAAAAAGACTGTCCTGGAGGAGAAACTAATGTGCTTTCCCCGGTCTTCCTTTTCAGGGCCTTCTGGCTCTAGAAGGGGAGCTGACACCCATTTTGGTACAAATGGTGAAGAGTGCCAACATGAATGGGCTCCTGGACAGCGACGGGGAATCCTTGAGCAGCTGCCAGCACCGGGTGAAGGCCCGGCTCCATCACATTCTGCAACAGGATGCACCCTTTGGTCCTGAGGATTATGACCAGGTCAGCTTCTCCCTATCCTTGCACCCTCTTTCTAGAACTCTAAATAATTTACTAGGCACTGCTTTTTATTTTTTTTATTTACTTATTTTCCAGTACCAGGGATTGAACTCAGGACCTTGAACTTTTGAGGCAGGTGTGGTACCACTGAGCTAAATCCCCAGCGTAGGCACCATTTTAAGTATCTCACGCATATTATCTCATTTAATTCTCCTGGCATTCCTTTGAGATAAGTACATATCTACAGTTTCAAAAATTAGACTATAGTTTGGCATCAATACTCACTTGGCACCTGGACCTAGAACATACCATCGTGAGACTACATGCCTTATTTTTCTCACTCAGTTTAAATAGGCATACATTTTGCTACTGAAATATAAATGTGTTTGGTTAGGCCCTACTGGAGGTATCATAGGACGTATGGCGTATGAACTGCTTTAACTTCAAAAGTCCCCAAATTTCTCAATTCCAAAACATGACTGATCCCAAGGCAAATAGAAGAATGTTTCAGCAATTGATGTAAAAAATGATCCCCAAACTTAGTAACTAAAAAATGACCATTTTATTATCTCTTACAGTTCTGGGCTCAACTAGTCTTGGTTGGGGTCTCTATTGAGACCAGATAGATGTTGACTGGCTGGAACTATCTGGAGGCTGTGCTGGGGTTCTGGGTCAGCTAGCTTGCTCCTCCTTTGTGCTCTGTGCATTCTCAGGGCCTGTCCTCTTCATATTTTCTTCATTTGATTTCTCTAGTCTGGTAGCTTAGGGCAGGAGCTTTCAGCTTTCTTTTCTTTTGAGATAGGGTCTCACTATGTAGTTGAGACTGACCTGGAATTCACTATGTAGCCCAGGCTGGTCTCAAACTCACAGTGATCCTCCTGCCTCAGCCTCCCAAGTGCTGGGATTACAGGGGTATACCATCACAACCAGCAAGAGCTTTCAGCTTTCTCAAAGCATAGTCCCAGAATTAGCAAAATTTTTTTGTTTTTTACTGGTTAAGCAGTTATGAGGCCAGCCCAGATTCAAAGGAAGGGAGAAAACAATGAATAGTTTACCTTCAATCCATCACAAGGGCTGTTAGAACTGCAATGCTGCTGGGTGTGGTGGCACACACCTGTAAAAAAACAAAACAACAACAAAAAAAACTGTATTACTTCTCTCCTATCTTTCAAAGGAGAAAACCTAGACTCAAATAAGATGCAGCTAGTGTGAAGCCTACATTGTAACTCCAAAGCCCAGGCTGGTAACTACTACAGAGCACAGAGTCTTAGTGTTTGTTCCCATGGGTGCTGCTGTGCACGGTGCTCATCCTATTTCCCAGGTACCCCAGCTACCACTGACCAGGCAGTGGTTTCCCCCAGTCCTATTCCTCATTTCTTTTTTTTTTTTTTTTTTGAGACAGGGTCACACTATGTAGATCAAACTGCCCTGGAACTCACTATGTGAGACAGGCTGGTCTCGAACTCACAGCGATCCTCCTGCCTCAGCCTTCCGACTGCTGGCATTACAGGTGTGCGCCACCACACCCGGCATATTCCTCATTTCTAATAGGTTGTTTTTTAGAAATATTATTTTGAGATGGGAGGTCTCACTATATTGCCCAGGTTGACCTCTAGTTCCTGGGTTCAGGTGATCAAGTAGCTGGGACTGTAATCATGAACCACCATGGCTGGCTATTATCTTTTTAAATTGTAGTATCACTTTGGTATACAGTTAACTGGCATTAAATACATTCACGTTGTTGTATAGGTATTTCTGATAGGTCCTTAAATGGGCCCAGTGGTGAGCGTGTTGCCTGCATTTGCTGTGTTCCCCCCTGAGCAGAACCTGATAAGGGGCAGAATCTTGCTGTCCTATTTGTCTGTCTTCCTTCCCTTTTCCTCCCCTCCCCTTGTGATCAAACTCAGCATCTTGTATTTGTGAAGTAGGTGCGGTGGCACTGAGCTAAATCCCCAGCCTTTGCTGTCCGGTTCTAGTCCATTGCTCGGTGTTAAATAATAATAATAATAAAAAATCTAGGGTAACTTTTCCTTTCTGCCTTGCTCCCTTTGCCAACAAAAATGGAATGTGTGAGGCTCTGAGTGGAGTTGTACATTTCACCTACAGTCTTCTTTCTCCCTCCCTGCTCCTTATGACTTTCACTGTTCTCAAAGCATGGGTTGGAACCCAAGACTGAGGTCCATGAGAGATGTCTCTAGTATCTAGTCATGAAAATGTCCTGCAGAGATTTTGAAGGATTTTGGGTTTAATCTTTACTCCCCAGCATTTTCCATGTGTATTTTAGAGCCCCCAGGAAAAGAACTTAGGTATATTTTTTTGCTTTGACCTCCAAGATGTTTAAGATTGGCTCCTTTTGTTGACTGTGCTAGAATGGTGATCTGCAGGCCCTAAAACTACTAATATGTCCAGTAACTTAGGAGTACTCATTGAAGTTCGCCGGTAGTGCAGCTCATGGGAATCTGGCAGCTGGCACCAACCTATCTTGCTTTTCTTCTCTCTGTTCCCCACAGTTGGCTCCCACAGGCAGCACTTCCCTGCTTAACTCCATGACTATCATTCAGAACCCTGTGAAAGTCTGTGATCAGGTATTTGCCCTGATTGAAAACCTCACTCACCAGATCCGGGAGCGGATGCAGGATCCCAAGTCTATAGGTTAGTATAGATGCTACTGTTTTCCTTTTAAGGTCTTAGGTCTGGATGCATTTCTCAGGTACACCTGTGTCTTTTCCTAACTCTCTGAGATAAAGCACCTTACCCTTGTGGTTGTACTCAAGTTGTCAGCATCTTCTTTTGTTGGAAGTCAGCTTTTTGGCTCTATTTGACTTCCTGCCTTCCTCCAAGACCTGCAACTCTACCACAGTGAGACCCTGGAGCTCATGCTGCAACGCTGGAGCAAACTGGAGCGTGACTTTCGGCAGAAGAGCAGGCGCTATGATATCAGTAAGATCCCTGACATCTACGACTGTGTCAAGTATGATGTGCAGCACAATGGGAGCCTGGGCCTCCAGGGCACAGCGGAGCTGCTTCGTCTCTCAAAGGCACTGGCGGACGTGGTCATTCCCCAGGTGGCTATCGCGTGGGCATCTAACCTGCGGATGAGGGTGGGGGGAAGGAAGGAGAGAAGGTGGAAGGGGATGATGTGGGAACCCGGGGAAGAAAACTTAGAAAAGGAAGTAGTTGAGTTGATATAATTCCCAGAGTCCACTATGGCTCTGGGTGAGAACAGGAAGGTAAATGAGGAGACTCTTGGAAAGGGGGAAGGATGTTAATAGGAGAGAAGCCTCAGCCCTGAGGTGAATAGACATGATCTTGGCTAGGAGTGTAAGGCCAGAGGAAAGCAAGACTCATCGAGGTGCTTATTTCTGACCCATGGCCTCTTAGGAGTACGGGATCAGTCGGGAGGAGAAACTGGAAATTGCCGTGGGCTTCTGTCTTCCACTGTTGCGAAAGATACTGCTTGACCTGCAGAGAACCCACGAGGATGAGTCTGTCAACAAGCTGCACCCCCTGTGAGGGAGGCAGGGAGGGGCTCTGGCTGGAGGGAGGGCCATGTTGGGAGCCCTAGGGCATCAAGGCTAGGATGGCTCGAGAATGAGGGAAGGGATCCTGGGAGGGAGTGGATGGGCGTCTGTGGGGTAATGGTGTGTGTGTGACAGAACTGTCCCCTCAGGTACTCCCGAGGGGTGCTCTCCCCAGGCCGCCATGTTCGAACACGGCTCTATTTTACCAGTGAGAGCCACGTCCACTCTCTACTCAGCGTCTTTCGTTATGGGGGGCTCCTCGATGTAAGGACCCTCCTTCTTTTAGCTTGAAACGTCTTTCCCCAGCATTCTTCTCCCACTCTTCCTTCTTTTCTCTGTTGTTCTTTGTGTCCCGCTCATTCCCTCACTCCCTGTCCTAGGCACTGGCTTGGCTCTTTCTGTGTTTGGCAGGAAACCCAGGACACACAGTGGCAGCGAGCTTTGGCTTACCTGAGCGCCATTTCAGAGCTCAACTACATGACCCAGATTGTCATCATGCTTTATGAGGACAACACGCAGGTGAGGGGCAAACATCTGGGTTGAGAGAAGGCCCCTCTTGCTACTTCCCTTAAAAAAGAAAGCTTTCTTATCCTTAGAATCTGTACAGTCCAGCTACATGTGGCACCTATGCACAGAATGACACAGAGCATCCAGAAGGTTTCTGCTGGGACAGGAAGTATGTTGAGCCCGAGAGCTAATCCCAGGGCATAGTTCTGGCGTTAGGGGGGAAAAATGTGGGACACTGCTATGATTCTTTCCCCTCAGACATGGTTGCACATATATCTTCTGCCTCTGATGCCACAAAAATATCTTTAATGTGCTGTATTCACTGTACCAAAATGAATTATGGGTGATGAATGAGAAAGGTTGTGATCATGTGGTGAGGTGAATCAAAATGGTGGAACTTGAAGGAGTGAGGATGCTCTAGCAGACAGTAAAGGGACAGGGAAGGACCCTGAATCTCAGCTCTTGGAAGATGCATCTTCTTGAGTTCCTCTCTGTTGCCCCTGCCTGGAAGATGGTTCCCTGACTGGGTTTCTCTCAACTGCCCCTTCCTTGGTGGCGTCCTGTAGGACCCCTTTTCAGAGGAGCGGTTCCATGTGGAGCTGCACTTCAGCCCTGGTGTGAAAGGTGTTGAGGAAGAAGGCAGTGCCCCCACTGGCTGTGGATTCCGTCCAGCCTCTTCAGAGGTGGGTCACATGGTATCTGAGACTGGAGGGCTGGGGAGTTGGGACTAAGAGGTGAAGCCATTCATGCCTATTATTGAACAGAATGAAGAGATGAAAACAGATCAAGGCAGCATGGAGAACCTGTGCCCAGGGAAGGGCTCAGATGAGCCAGACCGGGCACTGCAGACTTCACCCCAGCCGCCTGAGGGCCCTGGGCTCCCAAGAAGATCGCCCCTCATTCGTAATCGGAAAGCTGGCTCTATGGAGGTAATGAGAGGGCCTTGGGAAGAAAACAAGGGGTAGAAATAGTATCTATGTCTCGTCTGAAGCTCCTTGGGAGACTCTTGGGTCATATGTTTGGCTTGATCTCTCTCTCTCTCTCTCTCTCTCTCTCTCTCTCGATATCTCTCTCTTTGCCTCTCTCTTTGCTGGGCCCCAGGAGAACTGTCTTTAACTATGTAGCCCAGGCTGGTCTCAAACTCACAGTGATCCTCCTGCCTCAGCCTTCCGAGTGCTGGGATTACAGGTGTGTGCCACCACACCCGGTGAAAGAAACTTTTTAAGAAATGAAATTGAGAAGGACTTTGGATGAATTTGAAAAGGCAGTTATTTAAAAGGAAATAGAAGCCAGCATGGTGGCACATGCCTGTAATCCTAGCACTCTGGAGGCTGAGGCAGGAAAATCACATGAGTTCTAAGCCAGCCTGGGCTACATCATGAGTTCAATGCCATAGCAGGATCCTGTCTCAACTTCCCCACCCCAGTAATAATAATAAAATCAAAGGAAATATAGTGGAAACAGCATGAACTCTGTCACAATTTAGAAGTTGAGTTTGCTTACATAGAGTTTTAACTTCTCTAACCCTTGCTTTTTTATATATAAAATATAGGTCATGTGTAACTTATAATATTCATTAAACAGTAACTATAGTAATAACATAATATTAAAGGCTGTTCCATCTCTTTGTTGCTTTAGGTAAAAATTATAACAGAGGGCTGGGGATTTAGCTCAGTGGTTCTGGTGCCTACCTCCACAAGCCCAAGGGCCTGAGTTCAATCCCTGATACCAAAAAAAAAAAAAAAAAAAAAAAAAAAAAAAAAATTTACAACAGAGATGAGCAAGTGACTGATGCTTTACTCTCATTAGGTCATCTACACTGTTTCAGAAATAGGATCAGTGTGGAGAGCGGTCTGTGTTTCTCTCCTGATGAGGCTTGTCTAGAGGGAAGAACTGTTACTAATCTCATATCCTGTCCAGCTAACTGTCTCTGGGTTTTGTTCTGGTCTTATTCCTGGAAACACTGTTTCCCTCTTTGGCTCAGTGACACTTTTCTGATGCCATGATTTAGCCCTGTCTCAGGAACTCTCTCTGACTTGGATACTGCTCTTACCCAAAAATCTTCTCAGCTGGCTCTGTGCCATGTTCCTGTCTTAGATGAACTGGTTTTGCCATTTTATGGATATCTAAAAAATCTGTAGCTGACTTTCATAGGTTCAGCTAGACTTTTACTGTTCAGAGTTAGAGAAAGCTGAGAAGACACACTACAATCTTTTCTGGACTCATCCTTGGCTTCCTGATTATTTGAAGGTGGAACTGATGTTGTGAATGGTCAGCTTCTTTAAGGTGGATAGGCGTTGTTTTCTCTCCTCAGTGTAGGTATAACTTGGTAGCCATGGTCCTCTGGGTGCTTTATGTGCCCCTGTGAACTAAATCAAATGGACATAATGGCACATCATCTTCCACCAGACGCAGCTTCTTCACATCTACATGTCTTCCCTGTTCATATGGTCTGCTGGTCTCCCGGAACTTTTATACTTGGACCTCATTTTCTTCTGGTTTAAGTCCCAGAGGCATAGGCAAAGGAGAGCTCTCTCTGACTTGATAAGATCAACTTCTTTCAGGAGGCTTCCTTTTTTAATGGCATTCCCTCCTTTCACTTGCTGGTGTTGCTTACACCCTGGCTCACTCAGGATGGTCACTGCCTAGGATTTGTTCCTCAGCCTTGCACACAAATCTTCTCTCTGCTCTTTGGTCACACAGCCTTATAACAATATTTCCTCTCCTTGCTCTATGGGCAATGGCATTTCTTATCTTTATCACTGGCATCCTTCCCTTCATTGTTTCTTGTTCTCTTGTCATTTCATAGTTTTGAACTGTTACTGATTGCAAAAACCTTTGTAGCAGCTGTGCCCTAGCTGTCATCCTCTCTGTCCTTCTACCTAGTTCTGCCCTTGGGGCACGGAGGCTTTGGGAACCTGAGAGTTAAAGGAGCCGTGACCGGCTTCCTACCCGGTCTGATTGCAGGTCATGAACATGCAGTGCACGGGGAGCCTGGACCTGATCCCCTTGAGGGGGCGGCGCCGCAGGAGGTCAGGAGACCTCCCCCGGCTTTCCCCAGCCATCAGCCTGCAGCCCCGGGCTCTGTCCACCACTCACCTGGCATCCTGCACACAGGTGTCCCTCCCTGCCTTACCTCCCCGTCCTGCCTTTTGTCTTTGCCTTATGGGATCTATGGGTACAGAACACTATCTAGGTGGGATGTGTGTATGTTGAGGTTTATGCCATTAGCCCTTGTGGGTATCTGAAGAAGTCTAGTTCATGTGTCCCAGAGTGAAACTGTGAGAGAGCAGGCTTGTTGGTTTAGATAAGGAGCAGTGACCACATCTGTCATATGGACAGAAGAGGGGGTGACCAGACTCTTTGGTGGCTGAGCCATTGTGATTGGCTTTCTGAGTCCAAGGGAGGGACAGATAAGATTGGGGGCCCCGTTCTACTGAGAACTAGGAGTAGCTGAATAATGACTTCTCAGATTTGGAATGGGAGGGCTTTGAGGATAGGGTGCTTGGATCTAGAGTTTCTTCTAGTAGAATCCTATAGGATGGACCCTCCATGAACTACACCATTAGCTCCCTTTCATTTCTCTTCCCCCATAAAAATCCTGTGATTCTTCCAAACTTTCTGACACCGCTTGGCTCTGTAAGGGCAAGACTTCAGTACTTCTGGGTTGAGTAATAAAATGATAAGAGTCTTTTTTTGTGCAGGTGCTTTCTGAAACTTCCTCCTCGAGGCCTGGTGGCTACCGGCTCTTTTCATCTTCACGGCCACCAACGGAGATGAAGCAGAGTGGCCTAGGTATGACTTTCTAGGGTCTCTCACCTGTTGTGGGAAAGGGTTGTCTGCGTGTTCTTTGAGTTTTATTGTGGGAAATCTCTGTCATGGGAGTTGGGACCATCCAGTCTGAAGAACTGTCCAGTGGGGTGAGGGAGGATAAAGGGGAAAGCTATAGCTATGTGTGAACCTGGATCGCAGATGTTTGTTCATCCCTGGAAGGTCCCCTATTTCCCTGCTTGAAAGGCATTTTTCTGGCTTTCCCTCTCATCCTTTATCTTGCCATTCACTCCAGCCCAAACCATAAGGGGCCATGGGGACTCTGAGCCTTCAGAGTTATCAGTGACAGAACTATAAATAGAGGTACTTGTGAACCATAACTGTCATATTTCTCATATGGAGAACTTGTGCTATGTCTTCTCTGAAGCCTGTATTTTTCGCAACCCTGCTCCGGCCCTTCTACCACCATGCCCTCTCCTCCATCCTGTCCTAATCCTGTAACTTTTTTCCTTTCCTTCCGGAAGATTGAGGGACAAATCTGAGACTGGTGTAGTGGCAGAGACTTTTCTCATGACTTTGAGAGAATGTCTCTTGATTTTTTTGATCCCTGGAGAGGGATGGAGAACATCACTCAACCTTTTCTAAGAACACAGACTACAGGAAGGACCAAGCTTCAGAGGGTATTGTATTCTTTGGGAGGGGAGGAGGTCCTTGGGAGGGGCTGTCTCTGAACGCAGTGCCATGTACTCTAGAATTGGAGGTCAGACACGACTGGGTAGGGTCTGGACTTGTTCCCTTAGGTCTTTTTAAAAATTTTGTCCTATTGTTCTCTGTATTTAGGTCCTTTTGTTTTTCTGTTACCTTTGTCCTGGGCACCTAATTTCTTGACTCAAAAGTGGTCAGTATCTGGGCTCACAAGGGGGAGAAGGGTTTTTGTAATTTTCTAGACTAATTTGATAACAATAGGTTGCCTTTTAGATCCCTGAAATGTGGAGGATTGTTTGGGGCGTGAGAAATTAATGATAAATCTGTAGATCTGTGATATACACCTCTCTTTCCAAAAATCCCAGTAAAGAATAGGTTTCAGATAAACTGAGGAAGTGGATAAGTGTGTCTGGCCCAGTTAAGTGAAACTGTAACATCAAAACTAAAGCAGACAGGGATTTAGCTCAGTGGTTCCATCGCCTGCCTCACAAGTGCAAGGTCCCGAGTTTGATCTCCCGTACCAAAAAAGAATAAAGCAGAGCCTGGGTGTGTTGTTGCATGCCTATAATCCCAGCATTTAGGAGGCTGAGGCAGCCTGGGCAATATAGTGAGTTTAAGACTGCCCTAAAGTATATAGCAAGCTCCTGTCTCAGAAAAACAAAGCAAAACAAAAGAATAAAACAGAAAAGGCAAAGTACAATGGTGTGTACCTGTAGTCTTAACTACCGAGACATGAATATGCTTGAGCCCAGCAGTTTGAGTACAGCCTGGTCATCTTGTTGTGGAAGGAAAGAAGGAAGAAATGAAGGAAAGGAAGGGAGGGAGGGAGGAAGGAAGAAGGGGAAGGGGCAGAATGGCGTGGACACAGACCTGGCTGACAGATGGTAGTGGGAAGGTAGAGATCACCCTCTGAGATAATCTGGGGACTGGGCAGCGCTGGGCTGGCATGACCACACTAGAAAGTGACTCAGTACAGGAAGTGGATGTAGAACAAAGCCTGGGGTGACCTGGGGTACAGCCAGCTAGTTTTAGCTGCTCTGAAGAAAAGCAGATATATTTAGCAACCACATTACTCTCTGCAGCCCATTTCCAGAGCCTGGGTGAGCATGAAAGGTAGGGGAAGTTGCTGAACGGAGAAGTCCTGAATCTCAAGTTAGAAATCATTGGCCATCTGAGCTTTCTGGTTTCTCTGGGGCCCTTGGAAACATGGTCTTTGCTTTGTGTGATCAAGGGGAACTGGAGTCCTCCCTATCCATCTCCCCACAAGTGCTATAGCCCCAGCCAGACCTGGAGTCTTGGCTGAGATGGATTTGGAGGTAGAGGGGCAAATCCCTAGAACTTGGGTGTTGATCTTGTCCCTTTCTGACCACAGTGGCCTTGTGGGCTAAAGTGGTTTAGACCCTGCTCTAGACCATACCCTGGGGACAGTGACTGACCTGACTCATTCTCTTCAGAGGTCCTTCAAGTTTTATTTACTCTGGATTGGCAATAGAATTTTCTTTGCTTTCTTTGAACTTGTGTACTGGGCCTCTGGTTTTGTTAATAGGGCTTAAAAGACAATAAACATTAAGAGTAGATGAGCGTGCCTTTTTGTTGTTTCCCGCTTTCCGTTCAGTAGGGTGCTCAGCGCATAATGGGCATGCTCTGCTTTTCGTCACCTGCCTGTCACATGCCTTCCTGTTTGTGTCCATCTTTACTTCAGAAATTATTCTGTTTCCAGAAGAAAAAAAAACTCTTTTTCAACTGAAAACAGTTGGTCCCCAGAATATAGAGACCTGGATTCTCGTTCACCTTAGCTCCTAAATACTCTATGACTTTTGTATCTCCATTTCTTCATCTCTAATATGAGAAAGTTAAACTGGACAGTCTGAGTCCCTCCCAGATTTAGAAATTCAACATGTCTCATACTTTCATGCTTTTAAAATAATTAATTAATTAATTAATTTGTTTATTTTTATACTTTGATTTTTGGGAAGGTAAAAAGGCTTCAAGGGAAGGGATATTGAATGAAGAACTTAGAATTGGAATGATGGCAGCTGAGTGCTCAAAACCCAGTCATAGCTTTTTCCTAGGCCAGGCAGAATGCTACACACCTGTAATCTTAGCACTGGGGAAGCTGAGGCAGGAGGATTTGCAACTTCAGGCCAGTCTGGACCACAAAGATAGACCCTGTGAACAAACAAACAAGCAAAAAATAAGCTTTCCCTTTTAAACCTACAATGGACTCGATTTCTGGGTTTCTCAAATCCCGTATCCAGGGTAAAGGGCACTGAATTGAATCTAGGCAGATCTAGTGGGTTCTTCCTATTCTTTTAGCATTTCTGGGAGCCCCCTGCGAGCACAGTCTAGCTCTTTCAGTAGCTTCGAATACTTTAATATGACTAACCCTGTATTTGCAGTGGCCTCTTGTCCCTGCCTTGCAGATCTTGAGGAGAATCCCCACCTTGCTTGCCCAGTGTGGCTGTGGACAGCAGTGAGCAGTTTGTGGTTACATGGGGTGGCCATGTGGCTCTGAATGGCTGTGTGTGTCTCAGTGTTGTCCTGTGGAATTGTGTGGACTTCGTGTGCAGCTTTGCGTGGCTACTAATGCATTCCTGGCTTTGCAGGCTCACAGTGCACAGGGCTGTTCAGCACCACAGTGCTGGGTGGCTCCTCCAGCGCCCCGAATCTTCAGGACTACGCCCGCAGCCATGGCAAAAAGCTGCCACCTGCCAGTCTGAAGCACCGAGATGGTATGTGGGTGGGTTTTGGGGGGCAGCTCCTTTTCTCACTTGTCTCCTAGTGGAGACACAGCTCCAGAGCCATTCATGCTTAAGATGGTACTGACAGTGGCCTCATAACGAATTTTATTCATCAACGATAGAGGGGGGAACCTGGACCCCTTGTACCCTTCCATTTGCATCCCTTTCGCCATACAAATACTACTTATTTATGCTTCTCCCTTCATAATCTCCCACATACAGCCTTGCTGCCTCAGTTTGTATGCTTTCCTGGATTCTGACCTGTAGGGGTGGGGACCAAGAGGATGATTTGTGGTCACCAAAATGCTTTGGAGCCTGGATTAAAGTCTGTGAAATCAAGATTAAGGATGGGGAACTCGCTCAGTTTAGGTAGAAAAAATGGTATGGCAAAAGACTGAGAGAAGGGAAGATTTTATTTACGAATGACCAGCAGGAGGATGTGGTGGTGAAATGAGCGTGGGCCGTACTACGGTAGAGATGGCAGAGTACTGAGAGACTGCACCAAAGGAAAAGACCGGCATTCGGAGGTCTGAGGGTGGGACGGGATCAGGCCATGCAACTAACTAAAACACAACACACACTGCAGGCAAATCCCAAAGCAGAGGGTGGGGACAGGGTGGGTATAATCCCCATGATGTCTTTTCTCCCCAGAGCTCTTGTTTGTCCCGGCCGTAAAACGATTTTCTGTGTCGTTTGCAAAGCATCCGACTAACGGTACGTTTGCTTTTGACTCAACATCATTCCTTCTCACCATTGTCACTTCCAGACACTTAACTGCTGAGTTCTGACACTGACCTTGCCTTTCCTCCCACTATATTGACACCCTGCTGTCTCTAAGGGAGCCCCTCACTACATGTCCTTGCTGGGACCTTTCCCTTAGGGCAATCTGAGCCCTGGCTTCAGCCTGGCTGACCTTTCCCTGTGCAACACAGGCTTTAACTTGCATAGTCACTGTCATGGCCATCGTGTCTTTGGCATCAGTTTACCACCCCAAAACTGATTAAATCTGCCCCCTTTCTACCCTGTGACTGCCAGGCTGTGCACAGACATGATAGCGGCTCCTCTTCTTAGAGAATAGTATTGCCTCAATTGGGCCTGTGGCTTCTCTTTTGCCCCCTACTCCTGGCTTATATAATTTTCATCTTCCTGGGTTTTGTTCTCCAACTCATTTGATGGGGCAGATGGGCAGTTTGTTCCTCTTATGGAGCAATGCCGCAATTCCCACTCCTGCCCCTACTTACAGGGAATGCAGTGTATGATCCCCATCTCCATATGCCTGTCTCTGCCATTGTGTGTGATTTGTGTGGCTCCTGTGCTCCTGACATGTGCTTTATGTTATTACTAACCGAGTGCCTGGGCTTAGGAAACAGCCCAGATTGCTGTGGGGTAAAAGAGAAAGGAAGGAGGAGGAGGTACAGTAAAGAAAAAAAGATTAAAGCCGGGCATGGTGGCTCACGCCTATAATCTCAGCACTTGGGAGGCTGAGGCAGGGGGATCGCTAGGAGTTCGAGACCAGCCTGGGCTACTTTGCAAGTTCCAGGTCAGTCTCAATTATGTAGTGAGACCCTGTCTCAAAAAACCAAAAAAAAAAAACCAAAAAAAAAAAAA